CTCTCCCCGCTCAGAGACCCAAGCGGCAGCAGGACGGGACCCAAGCCGGCCCCTCGTGCCCTTGCGGAAACCCACAACAAACAAAGCCGGACACCAGCAGGCTGGGATGAGTCACAGACTCGATGAAGGTCCAGTGTGCCGGCGAGCCCCGCTCCTGCACTAGCCCGGGCCAGGGCTCGCGGGCGCACAGCCGCCCTTCACGGGCAGAACAGGGCCGAAACTCAGTTTCTTCCACCTTAGTTCCTACTCTGTCAGGACCACGGCGAGCACATGGTTCTTGTTACAGAATTTGTGTGTGTGTGAGTGTGTGTGTGTGAAACTGCAGAGTCAACAGGCCTGCGAGGCCGGGCCCTGGGGTCGCACCTGCTGTCCCTTGGCCGTGGGCCCCAGGGGCAGTGGGCTTACAGGCCCAGGGCCACAACAGGCTCGACTGCCTGCTTCATGCCGACCCTCTCGGGCCCGAGGACATGGCCGATCTACACTGAAGTTCCCCACTCACACAGGGACACGTATGGGTGTGCGTGAAACAGGCTTCAGAAGGACCAACCACCACTAGCAGCAGCGTTCCAGGAAAGAAAAACCTCCCCGGGCCCCCAGAGCGCCAGTCGAGGGGGGGCACAGACTTACCATGGGTGACTTATAGTATCTGTGTAGTATATTTATGAAATCTGTAATTGTTAGCATTCCTAGAAGAAAGAATTACATGGTAAATATCGAAGCATGAAAAGGCAGAAGGAAAATTTCAAATGATGAGCAAACCTGAAATATCTGCTTGAAAAGCTAACACACACGTTAGCTAAAACACACTTGCCAGCTACCCAGGGCAGCTGACTACAGCGTTTAAGAATCTACTCATCTGCCCACTGCGCACCCCGAACCCGACATACTGACGCAGCACAAATCAGACCCGAAGTGCGGCGGGTTCCGACACAGGAGCCCCGGAGCGCTCGCCGGGTCGCAGGGCACCCCGGGCCCGCAGTGAGCCACTGGAGCGGGACAGCGCCCCCCGCGGGAGGCCCTCCCTGCTGGCCCCGCGTGGAGGCTCCCCACTACCGCCCGGAGGTGACCCCAGGCCGGCAGCCCTCCCCTGCCGCCCCGCCCCTCTGCCCGTCTGCTCCCCACTCTGTCCCCTCTGCCTCTGGTGAAGCCTCACCCCTGCACCTCTGGGGTACAGACTCCAGGGCTATGTGCACAAATAAATAAGCCTTAAAGAAAGGTCACAGTATCCCACTTGCTCCGGAAACACGGTGCTCCCGGGGGGGGGGGTCCTCAAGCAGCGCCTCCCCCCCGGCGGCTGGCGGCTGGGTGCCCGCTGTGGTCACTGAGGACGCAGGGGACGCCGGGACCCGCAGGCCGAGGAGGGGGGCCCCTGCCGGAGGGAACAGCCGCTGCGCGCTCTCGCCTTTCCTAAGGAGGACTCGCTCGTTTATGACACGAGAGCTGGGCGCAGGCCAGGGGTGTGGGTTGTGAGGGCCCCCCGAGACAGAGTGGGGAGCAGAGCAGGCGGATGGACTGAAACCCGCTGCCGACGGGGGCAGCAGGTCTGGCGCCTGGGGTCGCTCCCTGGCCGGGGATCGCCCTCGGCCGTGGTGGCCGACAGCCTCCCAGCGCTGCTCTGACCCCTTGCGCCCCGGGGGGCCCTGGGCACCCCGCCCGCTCCCGGGCCCCAGGGTCGGCAGGGGCGCAGAGGACCCTTCGGAGCCCAGACCGGGAACGCAGAGGAGTGCAGGAGGCGCAGCCGTGTCTGGGTACAAGGCCCCGCTGGCCCCACGCCGGCACCGCCGCCCGGCGCCCGCTCAGACGACTTACCCACAAAACTCTGCTTTTTGCTCTCCCACAGCGGCGCTGCTCGGACGCCGTTGGCCACCAAGGCGAAGAAGGCCTTTTTGACCTGCGGGCAGAGAGGGCGTTCCTGGGAGCCCGCCGGCTGGGTGGGGCCGCGCCGCCCTGGCCGCGGTGCCAGGCGCTCAGGGTGGACGCCGGAACCGGCCAACCTGGGTCAGCCAAGGCTTCCGCGCGTCGGCGAGAGGCAGGCAGGAGCCGGCAGCGGGCCGTGAGCCCCAACGTGGCCCAGGGCCGAGAAGGGGCCCGCGTTCGTGGGCTTTCCTGCCAGAATCAAAACCACGCGGAGTCATCGGCCGCCAGGGCTTCCTCCCCTGCGTGCAGTTCCTGGTTCTTCACACACTGGCTCGACCAAAGCCTGTTTCTGGCAGGCTCAAGCTCCACCCCAAGCCGCCCGCCGGAGGCCTGGGGGGCCTGGGAGCCGGGGCGTCGGGCTGCGTGCTGGGGCGAAACCACCCTAAGTCCTTCTCACGGGTTTTGGGCCCCGGTTTGGGTCAAGAATCACAAACCTCTGCTGCCCGAAGCCTGCCTCATTACGTCCCGTTTTCACCAGCATCAAAGGCCTGAGCCGACTGCGGTATCTGCGGCTGGAAAAGGCCACGGGGCCCGCGGCGCCCGCAGCCCAGGGGGAGCGCCGGGCGGGAGGGCGCCTCAAACGCGTCCTCAGAAGCGTCCAGTGTCCCGCTGGAGTGTACAATAGGCCTCCCGGGGGCCAGCGGGCAGGGGCCAGCACGCAGGCTGCTTCAGCGCGAGCTCGATCCCGGCCCGGGGGGGGACCCAGGGCGCGGCAGACCCCTCCTGACCCGCCCGCGGCTCCCCTCGGCTGTGGACTCCGTCCATCCGCCTGTTCTGCTCCCCGCTGTCTCTGGGGAAGCCTCTCACCGCCCTGCACCTCTGGCCTGTACCCCAGCTCTGTGTGCATAGCTAAATAAATCTTAAAAGAAATGTGAAAAATAAAATATGCAAAATAAAAAGCGCTCATTGGGAAGACCACGGTAAGTAAAAACCGAGGGGCAGCGAAAAACGCAGGCTGCGGGGTCACGCCGGCCGCTCCCGCGGAAGAGACCCTGGCTCCGGGAGCGGGCGGAAGCGGGGGGCGGGGGGCAGCCGACGTCCTCGCGTGCGCGTGCGCCGGGGGCTTTTCCTGAGGGAGACCCGGCTCTTTAACTGCCCCACGGTGCCCACCCTTACTAGCTTATCGGTGGGCAGACTGGGAGGACTCCGGCCCCGAGTTCCAGCGGGCCCCAGGCTGGGCTCCGGTGCTCGTACCCCCGAGGGCTGGGGGCGAGGGGGTGTCGCCCACCACCTCCCACAAATCCGGGCATGGCCCCGCGTCGGGGCGCTGGGGATCTGGGAAGGGCCGAGGGGGCCGGCCGAGGCCCCAGGGTGCCCACGCTGACCTCAGCGTCACAGGCCGCTCAGGCGGCCCTAAGGCAGCAGCACAGGTGCTGGGAGAAGTCGCAGCTCAGAGGCACTGGAAAGCCCGCGACGCACCAGCGTCACTTGTATTTTTAAACTGGCGGGGGGAGAGTGGGAACCGGGGGTCGGGGCAGCTTGGAAAACCACAAATTGCTCTGGTTTTCCCCAAAAGCACCGGCTGAGCAGTGGAAGCCGGCCCTGGACCCATTCTCAGGACAGCGGGGCGCGTCCCCGACCAGCCCAGAGGCCCGGGCCCCGGTGATGGTGGGGGGCGGGGTACCAGCTCTGCAGGCCCCGGGGCGCCCGGCAGACTCCCCAAGAGCAGAGCAGTCGGGAACCCAGCTCCACTTTCATTCTGGAATGTTCTGACGGCATTTTCCAAATCAGCTTCAAGAAGGTCACTTCAGCAAAAAACTGGCACTTATAAAACGCAAGACCCCGCCACCCACCCAGCTCCAACACAGCCCCGAAGTTCAGCTCCCATTCTGGGGAGCCCTGTGTCCCTTCCGCTGCAAATAAACGAGTCCCCCAATCTGCCTACAGAAGCCCCCCCTTCCAGCGTCACCGCAACAAGCCGCCACGTGGCTCCCGACACGCCAGACCCCCCACTCTGCTCTCGTGCCACCTCGCACAGCCTTGCTGCGACTTCTGGGGTCCCCTATGACACCTCAAAACGGCACAGAACAAGTACTTCTGACAACTTCTCCTTTCATACGCTGCCCTGGACCGCGGGGCGGACGAGCCGGGAGGAGGGGCCCGGGGCGACAGCGGGCGGCCCGGAGGGGGCAGGGGCAGACTGGCCCTCCCGGAGGACCCCGCCTGGGGGCCCCAGGGGTGCGCAGGGGGAGGGACAGGCCCAAGAGCGAGGGGGAACTTTCCAATCTGCCTCCCTTCACCACCCAGGGGTGACTCTCTGGAGAGACTATCCCAGGAACTACACGGCGGGGCACACGGCACCCTGGGCGGCTGGCAGGCCCCGGCCAGCTCTGACCGCAAGGAGGGACGCCTGGAGGGAAGCCGGCGGAGGCGGGGCCAGGCCAGCACCCGCCTGCGGGAGGGCAGGGTGGGGCCTGCCCCTGAGACCTGCCCGCCAGGGCAGCCGGCCGGGGCTTGTGTGGGGGTGCAGGCCGACCACTGGGAAGCAAGGGCTCCCTCGGCCGATCTGCTGGCTTGGAAAGCGCCCCCCGCCAGCCCCCTGGAGAAGACCCAGTGGCCCTCAGCCCTCCGCGCCTGCCTCCCACCCAGTGACCTGCTGTGCCGGCCCCTCAAGCAGTGCAGACACGTCCTGTTCTCTCAGGCCGCTTCCCTGGGCACCCAGGGAGGGAGGGCTGAGTCCCGGTCCCCCCGCCCCAACGGCTCTGCGTCAGTGTCTTCGCCCCCCGGGCGGGGTCTCTGGCATCAGGGCCTCGGGCAGACGCCATGCCAACGCGCAGCTGAAACGCCCGCCCTTGACCGGACTGCTCGCCAGGCGGTCACTGCTGGCGTGGTCTCTGCTGGCACTGACGGAACAGCGGGCTTCAGAGGCCTCGGCGCGTGGGCAGACCAGGCTGCGACGGTCGGGTCCTGACCGCGGCACAGCGCGGCCCGGGGAAGGCCAGGTCGCTGCCCTGCAAGGCCCAGGGACGTGGCGCTCGGGGGCCGCCCACTGCAGAGCCCGCGCTGTGCCCCACGGGGCATTTTGAGACCCTCGGCAAGCCCAGGCGTCCCGTGCTCACGGAGACCGGCTCTGCCCTCACTGCAGCTGCCCATGAAGCCCCATCAAGGAGCGAGGGCCCCGCAGGCCGCCGGCCAGGGCTGTGCGGGAAGGGGCCGGCCAGCGCCCGCGGCCCCTGCAGCCGGTGCTCTGCCTCGCGGGACGGGGCCCCGGTCAGCGCTGCGGCCTGGGAGGCAGGGCCGACCAGCCGCGAGATGCCCAGGGACCTGCAGCCTGAGCGTCCAGCGAGGTCGGCCGTCATCTGGCCCGTCGGTGACAGTGCTGGGCGGGCGTGGGGCCGTCAGCATCCGGGGCCCCGTGAGGACGTGGCCTGTGTGCCCAGGAGAGGACCAGGCTGCC